TCAAGAGGAGTTAAGAGCAAGCCAAGAACCATCTGATTAAATATGTATTTCTCTATCCTCTTACTGTAATAGGCAACAGAATTCTAGTACTGAATGAAAATAACAAAAACAGAGTTTAGGAAGAGACACAAGAACAAATGGTAGGAAATCAGAGAAACGGATCCTAGAACCAAGAAGTGAGGATGAACTAGGTAGGTATGACTTCTATAATGTTTGAACTTCATTTCCATAATTATTTCCATAATGACATTTTTAGTTTACTAGATATGGATCTATAGATATTAATAGATACTAAACAAGAATCCAACCGATTAATATTAAATATTTTCAAAAAATCCTTTCCATTAAGATACCTTCATACATTTCATCATTTAAGAGTTAATGGCTTAACTACCTTACTAACATCAGCTTTAGGAAGAGAAATAAATCAGGCTTAATGGCAATTCAGAAATATTCCATCAAGTCAGTAAAACAGTTACTATTTTTAGGATTTTCATTTGGAGAACTATAAAGTATAATTATACGTAGTACCATATCAAATAGTTTGACAGCAGTAAGAAAAAAAGTAGTTTATTGTTCCTAACTCATTATACTATTTCATATTTTCCTTTAAAAATCTTCCGGTTTCAAATATTTAATATTAAGACTGCCTCACATTGGTATTTAGCTCTTATTTAACCAGTTATTTAATTTAATCCATCATTTAATCTCTTAACTCCTGCTTTTTAAAAAACATTTTAAAGTTTTAATCCATTGTTTTTATTATTCTATTTTTTCCAATTTGTTTATCTTTCCTGTTGTATCTGATTTTCTACCATCTTATCTTCCATCTCTATATTTCCAGAATGACCTCTTACTCATATTCATTTACTTTTAATTTAATTTTTATCTCAGTTTTTTATATGGCAAATAATATATGCCAAAATCAATATTTTTCAATACAGAAAGTGTAAGAAATGACAACTTTTTCTCTGTAGTTCAACTTTTTCTCTAGGCACTCCGAAGATTCCTAGCCTTCAAATTTGAACACACTAACTGTAAACCATTTTATTTTTTTCAATATATATAAACTATCTTCTTTAAAGAAGGCAGGGAAAATGCAAAAATAGAATCAAAAAGTAAAATCTTATAGTATATACATTTGTACAGGGCTTTTTCTATGCGAGGCTTTTTTTTTTAAAGATTTTATTTATTTGACAGAGACAGTGAGAGAGGGAACACAAGCAGGGGGAGCGGGAGCAGGAGAGGGAGAAGCAGGCTTCCCAGAGAGCAGGGAACCCGATGTGGGGCTCAATCCCAGGACCCTGGGATCATGACCTGAGCCGAAGGCAGACGCTTAACAATTGAGCCACCCAGGCGCCCCTATGTGAGTTATTTTTAATATAATTGCAACACTACCTCTTTTATTTACTTATTCCATTAAGAGTTTCACATGTAATTATGGGATCATCAGAAACATTATTTTATGGTTATGTATTACTGCATTAAATAACTAGACCCTTTTCCCACTGTCAGGCAATCACCACATTAAATAAAAAGGTAGTAGCAAAACTACATATGGTGACAGATGTTAGTTAGACTTATTGTAGTGGTCACTTCCCAATATATACAAATAATCATTACATTGTGAAACTGAAATAAATATAATGTTTTATGTCAAATATATCTCAATTAAAAAAACAAATTTCCTATTCTTTTAAAAAAAAATACATACATATAGTAGCAGGAAGGACCAGATTGATATGTAGGTAAAAGCAAACTTAACTGAATGGTAAAGAGATTTTGAATCTATTTTTAAAGCTCAGTAGCACTCAAGTGCAAGTTTTCCAACCTTGTTTTCCTAAAGAGAGAATTTAAATTTGGAAAAAAAATGTTCTACCGAAAATTTAACAAATTATATATGATAGTAATTAAATTCCCCTTACTCTGGGTTGAGTTTACTATTAAATGGAAATCTAGAACTGACAGAAAGTATGCATACATATTACTAGAAAATACTTATTATATAACACAGGGAGTCAGTACACTATAATAATAGCTATGAGCATAGTCTACAGTGAGGCTACCTGTGTTGAAATCTTGGCTACAACTTATCAGCTATGTGACTATGGGTAAGTTGCTGAACCTCCCCATGCCTAGCACCCTCATCTGTAAAATGGGATAATAATAACCATCTCAAAGGGTTGTTAAGAGAATTCAGTGAGTTCATATTTATAAAGGTCTTGGCACACAGTAAATGCCATGTAAGTGGTTACCGCTTAGAATTTTTAATATAGCTAACATTTATTGAGCACTTACTATGTGCTAGGTTAAATGCTTTGGACATGAATTTGCCTCAAATAATCTTCACAGCAGTCCATGATGAAGATACTATGATTGTCCCCATTTAAAGATGAGAAAATTGAAGCACAAAAAGATTAAATGACTAAGACAAGGTCAAGCACAAATGCTGAAACAAGGATTTGAACCCAAATCTGACGCATGACCTACAATTTTAACATAGATTACAAGGTACACACACACTAGACACTAGAAGCAGTAGCCTCCAGCTGTACTTTATCTTAAAAAGAGGGCAGAGGACAGATTTTACTGAAATAAATCTGAATATGTATTTTCTGGAATAAAGTAGGGTATTTTAAAAATTAATAAAGATCACTATAATACTAAAGTATGTATATATGAAATAACATGATGTCTGATATTTGTTTTAAAATAATACAGCTTGGGGGAAGGGAGAAGATAAAAGAAAAAAGATCAGACATGCACTGATAATGGTTAAAAACTTGCTGATAGGCACACGGGGGCTCATTATTTTATTCTCTCTACTTCTGTAAGTTCTTTAAAATGTCCATAATAAAAGGTTAAAATAGAAGTAGGGTGCACAGATTAAATACGTTCATGACGCAAGCAAACAACTTTCTTATGATTCCCTGTATCAAAGACATAAAAGGATACTTGATATTTATACATTTTACAATGTATATGTAATCTATGAAACGATGGTCTCACTTCAAAAAACTGAGGATCTTCTCAGCCAAAATAAATATTTAATAAAAGTATTTAAGCACATACATGTAAATATACATATTAAATGGCTGTCTGCATTTCCATCGACTTGTTAAAAATATTTGCCGGAATAATTAACACTTTTTTTTTTCATCTTTCTCCTGCCTGATAATCTCTATGATTATGATACTCTCTGGTCTGTTGCCCAGAAAATGGATGGGTTTGTACAAATATGAATCTACAACATGGTCACAAATTGAACAATGTGAATAAAAAACAGAAACCTGCTTCACCAAGAAACACATAAAATTTCTTGCCTCAAATTGTAGTCGATTTTTATACTAATGTATACCAATGGGCTTCTGATAAATATAATCAATAATTAAAGAACACTTTATATGCTCTAAATTATAGTTAAAACAAGGTAGCTGATACTAAAGGAAAAAAACTAACATCTATTAAGCCAGACACTATTCTAGGCATTTTCATACACACTACCCCTCAGTAAATTTAAGACATTATATACATTTTTATAGAAAGAATATTAAAGTTCAGAGGCCCAAGGCCACAGAGTTTATTAGCAACTAAATTGGCATTCAAACTCAAGCTCAATTACAAAACCCACTCTTCCCCCCACTATATCAGACTACCATATGGGAGGCAAGCATCTAAACTCAAATCAAACTTAAATATTTATGGCCTCTTTTAAGTGGACCACAAAATGTTTAAGTTACTGGTTACATATATATTTTACAGTGGCAGCTTGGCTTTGGGTAAAGAACTCCAGCTAAACACAAAAAGCATTATGTCTGCTCTTGTGTGACTCTTTTCCCACAAGTCTCTTAATTTCAGCCTCAGGTTACTCATCTCTATAATGGGGAAATTAATACCCTTGCTGTCCAACTGCAGGATTACAAAATTCAAAGAGGATATGTAAAACCACTTCAAAAACTCCAAAATACAGGGGCTCCTGGCTGGCTCAGTCAGAAAAGCATGTGACTCTTGATCTAGGGGATTGTGAGTTTGAGTCCCACACTGGGTGGAGAGATTACTAAAAAAAATAAATAAACTTTAAAAAAAATTATGTTAAAAACCCTACAAAACACAAAGAGTCTTTTTTTGTCTTAAAATGCTAAGAACAACAAAGTTTCTTTTTTTCAATATAAGGCTTTCTAAAGTCATTGTCAGCTGTTAAAATTCTACACCTATTAACATTTCCAGAACTTTCTCAAACTTTTTTCTAAGCATAGTTCAATCATCGTCTCTATCACTTGGCTTTCCTTATCCTTAAAAATAATGCAACAGTGGGACCCTGCATGGTTTAGTCGGTTATGCGTCTGCCTTCAGCTCAGGTCATGATCCCTAGGTCCTGGGATAGAGTCCCACATGGGGCTCCAGTCTTACACCCGGCTCCCTGCACAGGGAGCCTGCTTCTTCTCCCTCTCCCTCTTGCCTGAGGCTCCCCCTGCTTGTGCTTTCTCTCTCTTTCTCTCACACAAATAAATAAAATCTTAAAAATAAAAAATGCAACAGTAATGATACCAATGCTTTTGTAATAAATAATTAACATGCTGTTTGGAAATGCTCAATATATAAAAGTTCTAAATTCTGAATTTTTAAACGAAATAGTGTTTGGTGTCACTCTTAGTTATACTGATGATCATAATGTTTGAGCCTTTTCATATTCAGTTTATTTATAAAAAGCTAGAATTAAGATCTGGAATTCCAAAGTAGAACACCCAACATAATTTTTAGTAATTTTGTGGGGGTTTTCTCAAGGCTTCTCAAAGCAGATACAATAAGCTAACAAGCACATCAAACACAGTAACAAAATCCACTGAAACACTCAGCTGCTCTAAAAGAAGGATCAGGCTCTTTAGGAGAAAACTACATTGTATGAGTTTGCAAAGTTTCACACTTTCTCATTTAAACTCCATTTCAGAGAAAGCCTTTGCATACTCACACAATATGCTTTAAAATGGCACTTTGCTGACCTTCCAATAGTCCAGCTCTATGAAAATTCTGTGATGGGTGTAACTTCAGAGAATCTGAAAAACACAAAAAGCATTAAGTACTTTTTATGCTGAATGACTTAAGAAAAAAAAAGGCAAGGGTGGCATACATCTCTTACATAACTGCCATGTATTTTTAAGAACTAAAGCCCGTATTTGTGAATATACTCTGCAAAAGAAGACTGAATTGTCTCTACATTGGTCTTTATGCTAAACTTCGATTTTCATAAAGCATTTGTTTCACGGAAAATTATCTGATGATTACTGCACAAATGCTGTTAATGTCTTGACTATTTTTAGCACCCAATTGTACCCCATTAGCCCTCTTCTAAGAATCATCTCTTGATATACTCTTTTTCTTCTGACACTCAAAACTACAATATTTCCAAACTACTTCAGGTAGGCTGCCTGAAAAACATCCTACAGGATGGTGACTGCCAACTAAAGTCATCAGAGCAACAGACAATGGCTACAGTTACTAAGTAGGACTCTGTGTACAAACCCAATCGTCAGTCTGTAAAGTCCAGTACCTTCCAGAGTAAACTATCTCACTGATTCGCTTAAACAATGTAAATTTACATAATGTGAAGCTGAAGTCCCCCTTTCTGGAGGGGGTAGACTCAGTGGATGGATACATCACACCAAAACTGAAGAAGTGCTGGATTTCTCAGTAAGGAGGTTCACAATGGCACATATTTTTTTTTTAATATGGTGAAATGAATAGCTAATAACCCAGTTATGTCTTTTTGCCCCTCCCAGTGGTTTAAAAAGTGAAGAGTGTAGGGGTAGCATTCTGGTTTGATGCCCCTTGCACAGGGAACCTGTTCTAACACATTCTTGTGGAGCCCAGTATAGGAATTTAAACCCCGTAGAGATCAACTCGAGTGTTAGTATCATAGATCCCGGGAATCCCCTTTAGGCCTTTGCCAAAAGAGTTTAAAAATGAGAATCTCTGTCCAATGCCCCCTCCCTGCAACGAGCCCTTGAACGGCAACGAAAGAGAAAATTCTCAAAGGACAGCGTCAGTGCCTGAGCTGGTACCCCTGGGACAGGAGAGGAATAAAACTAATCCAGAGAGAGCACCCCTACCTTTGTAAAAAGAGAGGGAGATGTAAGTCATTAGAATGCCACAGAGGTGGAAAGAGAGAAAAAGAAAATTCGGGCCCTTTCCAGCAATAAGATGACGAGGAAAGGAAGAACGCCTGGTCGAGGGGGGCCGTCCCAACAAGGGGAGGGAGTGGACTAGGCCGGAGGGAGGGGGGGGTAGAACGACGGCGCACAAACAACCTGGAGGGGGAGAAAAATGGTGCCCCTGCACCCAGAACCGGCTCCAAGCCACACCGCCCGTTTGGGGGCAACTTTGCTGGGGAGGATGGTCCTGGTAAGAGGGGCCGCGGCGCACCGATCGCAGCAGCCCCAGCGCGGGGCCCAGTCGGGGAGGGGGGAATCCCTGAGCCGGGGAGGCCGGGACCGGCCGCTCGAGGAGTGTGGCGGGGCCGGACACGCCGAGGGACTCTCAGAACGACTGGTGCCGCAGAGACCGGGGGCCGACGGCAATTGGGCCCCGTGCGGCCGGCGGCTCCGCGGGGGAGGGGCCGCCACTCCTCCCCTGCCCCTTCCACCATCACCCGACCCCATCGGCCTCTCCCCACCCCCCCAAAACAGGCCCGACCGGCCCAGGCTTGCCCCCACCCCCGACGGGAACCCCTCCGGTCCCCCCCGGGCTGGGCCTCCCCGCCCCCACGCCCCAGCCCCCAGCCTGACTCACCTCGCGAGTACAGGGACTTGGGCGATTCCAGGTCTAGGTCCGCGCTGAGCAATGAGATGAAGTCCGAGGGCATCGCAGCTCGACCCAGCCCGGCCCGAGGGCAGCGGGAGGGGGGGAGCGGCGGTGGCGGCGGCACCTCCTCTCCGGGACCGCGGGCACCGAACCGGGGGCGGCGAGGCGAGGGCGGCTGCTGCTGCCTCCTCCTCGAGGGCAGTGACTTCCACCGGGCCGAGGACCGAGAAAACGGCAGCAAGGCGGAGGGGAAACTCCACGGGGACTAATTCCCGGCGAGCCAGGAGGGGGGTTCAGGGCGGGGAAAGGGAGGGGGGAGAGCCAACGGGTCCGTTTCGTGCTTCTCCTCAGCGAAAACTGACGGTCGCCGCCACCGCCGCCGCCGCTGACAGGAATCTGAGCCCCGCCCCCCGCGGGGCACTGCGCAGGCGCGGAGGGGGGGCGCCCCAGAGCCTGGAAGAGCTAGGGCGGCCGCCGGAGGGCGGGGAGACGCGCCAAGGAACAGCATCAACAAGGGCTTCGCTTCCTGCCGCGGCTGCTGTTTCCCAGCCGGGAAAGGGCCCCGCCAGCAGGGAGGGAGGCAGGGAGGTGTCCGCGCCTGGGGCCCCGGGGAGGGAAAAGGTATTTGCGCCGACCTGGTGGCGGCGAGCCCGAGGCGGCCGGCCCAGCGCCGAGCTGAGCTCAGGAGGAGACAGACCTGAGGGAGCCGAGGTGACTGCGGGACGAGAAAAAGGACCCCAGAGCTGGGTCCGGCGGCCTGGGCGGGCTGGCTTGGGGTCTCACAGGGGAATGGAGTTTCGTCCCTTGGACAGCCACCAGCCGTTTAGGGTTTTCGTAGGAGTGTCTAGCTTGAATTGGCCAAAGGACAAGCAAACTCATTTCTTAATTAGGAAATGACAGACCATATGTAAAAACCTCGAGTTACTGCATGTTTTTAATTCAAGTACCTTCTTCGTCTTTTGCCCTCCCCCTTTTTGTCTCCCCTCCCCCATTCTTTAGAGGCTGAAAATTCGAAACAAAACAAAACATAAAAACAACTTTCTGATTGTGCTGGGTGGCCGGGTTTATTCGGAGTAGAAGATAAAAGACTACTTAAAAATTGGATCCTATGAATCCACCTGGCTGTTCTAAAGGAAAAAGGGAAAAAGTACAGCTAAACACCACTCTTCCAAACCCTTTTTCATTTTTTACCTTTGGATTAGGCAAGGATGGAGGAAAAACACATTTAATTGAGTTTTTGCTATTCTGTTCATGGGGCCAAAAGTTTCCGTTGCAAAAACTGAAAATCCTCACCTACACCGCAGACCGTTTCCTGACTCTAATAGACTTCTGAGAAATTTTTAATCAAGTTATTAAAATATCAATTGGAGCGCAGGGTATGCATCTTGGGAAATAATTTTAATCTTGTGTGGAATACTGATGCCAGCAATCACTGGGCAACGTTTTTAAGCTATTAGATTTGGTTTTGGTTTTGTTATTTTATCTATAGACATCATAAAAATCACTCGTGTGTATCCGTGTGTGTATATATCTATATCTATCTATATATATCATACATATATACATACACAAGAGCCTTTTCCCCAGGAAGCTGGGCAATTCATCTGGACTTGGGAGTCCTGGAGGTGGGGAAGAAACTCAGCAAAAGAGGCCCCAGTGCAGGTGTCTCTGGGGTGGGGCTCTTTGCAAAGCTTTACCTGCAGACCTAGAATTTAAACTTGTGTCATCAGAGTCTCCCTATCTTTCCATCTGAACATCTGATTCAGGTTGCCCAATTATCTTCACTGCATTCTGTGCAGTAATGAATCAACCCTGTGAACATTTTCTTCCTGTCAGAGGTAACAAAGCTTTTCAGAGCCATCCCAAGATGGCAAAGCAGAACAGGAAACTACTCTCAAATCTCATTGCCACTGTTTGCTGTTGCAACAAGTCCCAAGGGAAGTCCCTTCATAACTGGTAAGAGCCCCACTCATTTGAGAAGATTTTAAACTCAAATTGCCCAACAGGCCAAGGCCTTGGCCAAAGCCTTTTAAATTGGAGCAAATACCTGTTGGAGACCCCCCCCACACACACACCCCAGCCATCAGTCAATACAAAATGTGAGGAGAGGAAATTGCAATTTACCAGGCAGAACCCAAATACTAAAAAGTTGGGTGTATCACTCTGAGCATATCCTTTTCCCCCAAACCTATGTAATCATTCAACAAACTTAGGGTATAGGAAATCCCCAATACTGTTCTGACCCTAATTAACAAGTCAAGAATTGGCAAGGCCTCTTCCTTCCCCTTTCCCTCAACACTTCTCTGCCCTTTTGTGCCTTTTTTCCCCTAGTATGAGTGCTTTGTTGTTTATGTTAATCAGATTTCCCTTGGCTTGGCAAAACCAAGTAAAGGGGGGAGGGGGGCAAGTGTGACTTGACCTAGACTAAATTCTCCTAGATGGATTCTTTAGGCTCAGGCCCCACCCCATCAGGCCTTGCATCAAGCAGTGATTATATCTCAAAGGGTATTTGAAAATTCGGTGTCTTTCTCATTTCCTTTTACAGAAATACATTTTTTGAAAAACTGTTTAGATGGATAGTTTTCATGGCCGAGCTTTGCAACAGCACGGAGACCTAGATTTCATGTTATCCTTAAAATTTCAGTGACTAAAAACACAAATTCATTAGTAAGCATGTTTGCTCTGCTCTGATCACAAAATATATGACCCGCATGATATTCAGGGTTACCAAAAATAACTATCTGATCATTGTGTCTTTAGTAAATTACATGCTACCCCCAGTTCCAAGGATATTCCCTCTGTAGTCATTAATATCTCCTTGCTTCCCCTTTTATTCAGTCTTTGAAAGAATCTCATATTATATTTCAAAAACCACCCACCACTCAAATATACACCTTCATAAAACTTTGTGCACAATAAAAAGTAAAGCTTTTTAAAATTTGGAAATTGGGGCGCCTGGGTGGCTCAGCCGTTAAGCGTCTGCCTTCGGCTCAGGTCATGATCCCAGGGCCCTGGGATCGAGCCCCGCATCGGGCTCCCTGCTCCATGGGAAGCCTGCTTCTACCTCTCCCACTCCCCCTGCTTGTGTTCCCTCTCTCGCTGTGTCCCTCTCTGTCAAATAAATAAACAGATCTTTAAAAAAATAAAAATAAAAAATAAAATTTGGAAATTTCCTCTCACTGAAAATTACAATAGGATTATGGAACAAAACATAAAGCAGATTTAGTAGTTTGTAGAATTCCTTTATATTCCTTCCCAATCATCATATCACATTCCCAAGTTACTTGATTAAAATTTCACAAGAACCCAGATTCAACTACAAGGTTGTATAGATTATGCAATAGAATGGCAGTTTTTATACTGGTGGTGTGTTCTTTAACCCCTCCTGGACCTGTTTAGGCACTCAGTGAATTGTGTTGCTGGATCTACTCTAAATGAAAGAGGTTCAAATATCAACCACTGAAAAGGAATTAAATAAACTCATACAGAACAGAGGAATGTGTTGTCACAAGATAATCTTAGTCATTGAAATACAATTAAGGCTGTTAAAATAATTTTGGTCACATGTATATTGTAAAGAACCTGCTAAACAAACACAAGATCTGAAAGGAAAATTTCCAGAGCAGTTCAAGTCATGGACAAAAAAAGTTCAGACTGAAAATTATCTTTGCTCCACCTTGGGAGCACTCCTTAATAATAATGGAGAATTGATAGTGGTGGGAAATAGCAATGACTGCATTTGTGCTGAAATTGTAAACAAAGTCTTATTTGATTATGACTATGTGTCAGTTTTCACCCTTAGAACATGTTCTAGCAAATATTTCTAAAGGCGAAATTAGTTTTGATAGTTTTGCCACTGGATTTAGAACATTCTCACTCCTTATATCTCACTGCCTAAATCTGATAATCAGGCATCTGATTCACTTTGATGAAGTACTTCTGTACTTTGACTGCGTCTGAGTCAGAGTTGTCATCTGAAGTCTTACAGAGGCCAGTTCAGTCTCTCAAGATCTAGAATAGTTGGAAGTCCTGAGATACAGAGCAATCAGCTTGAATTGGGAGAACTTGGTGAACAGTGGAGAAAGGAGAGACATGCCAGAGAAACCCAAGGGGTGGATTAGGGGGGAGAAATTTTAATGGGAAAATAGAAACCTCTGAGCGCAGAGTGCCTGGGTGGCTCAGACGTTAAGCGTCTGCCTTCAGCTCAGGTTATGATCCCAGGGTCCTGGGATCGAGCCCCTCATCGGGCTCCCTGCTCCGTGGGAAGCCTGCTTCTCCCTCTCCCACTCCCCCTGCTTGTGTTCCCTCTCTTGCTGTCTCTCTCTGTCAAAAAAAAAAAAAATCTTTAGAAACCTCTGAGCCCATTAAACCAAGAAAGGAAGGAGAATGTCTCTAGGTCATCCCAACGGTAGGCAGGTTGGACTTATGTAAACTGCATTCAATTCAGTCCTTATTCATACTGGCTTTGACACCACCATGTTTGCTAAGATGCTCTTTCCACATCTGATCATAACATGAATCGTCTAGTAGCCCCACTTCAGCTGTGATATTAGTTTGACCAAGAGTATGAATTGGAAATGGTTTTACAGGGCTACCTGGGTGGCTCTGTTGGTTAAGCATCCAGTCTGACTCTTGGTTTTGGCTCAGGTTGTGATCTTGGGGTCACGGGATCGAGCCCTGTGTCAAGGCTCCATGCTCAGCAGGGAGTCTGCTTGAGGTTCTCTCTGTCCCTCTCCCTCTGCCCCTCACTCCGTGTTCTCTCTCTCTCTAAAATAAATAAATAAAGATTTAATTAATTTATTTTAGAGAGAGAGACAGAGATAGTAAGAGAGAGCACCAGTGGGGAGGAGAGGGAGAAACAGGCTTCCCGCTGAGCAGGGAGCCCGATGTGGGACTCGATCCCAGGACCCTGGGATCATGACCTGAGCCGAAGGCAGACGCTTAATGACTGAGCCACCCAGGTGCCCTTAAAAAATTATTTTAAAAAACCACAAAGGATGGAAGTCTTTAACTTTCATAAGATTTCTGAAAAAAAAATCCATAACCCAGAGAAGATGAAAAAGCATTCCTCTATATGAAGCACATCCATTCTTCCCTCTTTCCACAAATGAGCTCTAGGAACTATGCTAGGTGCAGGAAATACAAAGATTTTACAAAGATGAAGAAGTCAACCCTCAGCCTGATGTGGGAGACACCCTTTAAACTGGCACAGGATGCCGTGTGACAGGTGCTCTGCTAGAGTTTTGTACAGGTACTAGAAATCAGTTATCTTTTGCTTTATTAGTAAGCTGATAGAGGGCAAGAGGAAGGAATGCCGTCTAACACACATCACTTTCTTCTCTGCTCACTACCCCCCAACAGCTGATTTCTCTTCAC